CCCTTACCCAGACTGGTGCAAGGTTCTTTCATTGAGACCGAACAGATTACCTGCAGCTTAGGTCCAAATGAATTTACAGGACATTATTCCCAACATGCATGTAATGGAGCTGTACAAGAATCAAAGGCTCCATTTTGTCCCATTCCCAGGACTCATCAACCCACAGAAATGCTGATCTATAGAGGAAACCAGCCATTTACTTCAGACACAAGGGAAACAATCCATTCCTCCTAAAGCAGTGATTTTCAAACTGGGTTGTGGAATGTCAAGCACTGGGTCACCTTGCTGTAAGATAACCAGGAGACCAGCAGGGGTGCTATGGCTTCCTTCCTGTCCTGGCACTGCGGACCCCCGCTGTGCCCCAGAAATAGCCAGCAGCTGGTTCAGCTTCTAGGCAGGGCTGCACATCCTCCACTCTAGGCATCAGCTCGAGACCAGTGCCTGTGGGAGAAAGCAGCATGCAGAGCCACTGCTGGCCACTTCCAGGGTGCAGTGCAGTCTGTGGTGCCATGACAGGCAGGAAGCTTGCCTTAGCCCAGGCCCAAATCCTAAGCACCAACCCCCTGCCCCAGCTCTGAGCCTCTCCAAACTCAGAGCCCCCTCCTACACTCCAGACACTTCCTCTCTGGGGTGGGATGGAGATGGGCCTGCACCTACCCTGAAACCCACCCCTACCTCAGCCCAGAGCTTCTTCTCACACCCTGAGGCCCTCAGCCTTGTGCCTTAGCCTGGAGCTCATTATGCTCCAAAACCCCTATCCCACCTCACCCCCAGAGCCTGCACACCCAGATGGAGCCCTCTCCTCCTTCCCCCACAATCCCTGGCCCTATCCCATAGCCTGCACTCTAGTCAAAAGATATAATTATGTTGGATTGTGGATATCAATTTTTTTCCAACCAGAAAAAAGTATGAAAACCACTGCCCTATCCTATTCTTAGTCTCAGAGAATCGGGGATAAAACAGAATACAACTCTGTTTGAAACATCTGAAAAAGGATCTAAAGGAGGCTTATCTTTACTTTCACATTTTATCACTACTCTTATCAGGCAAATGCTTAGGATCACAGGAATATTAATATTAGGAATAAGAGGAAATAATTCCCTTTTGTCTCTTTCTAGGCAGCTCTATTGATCAGGACTTTGTACAAAGAGAAAGCAGAAATAATAGAATGACACTGCTTCTAGATTATCTTGGTTTCACAGCAGACACAATAAATAGATATGTGGTGCCAGGGAGGTCAATCACAGAGTACTAGGCAGAAGATCTCATCTCAGAGGAATGTTAACAGAAGACGAAAACAGCCATAAAGAAAACACACATGGTTAAAGAAACAACAATCCAATCTGTATTGGAGGCTTTTAGAAACACTTGCCTCATGCAATTATGTACTTCAAAAATAACACCACCAAATTCTCAAAGCACTTTAAAAAGAAGGTCAGTATTGTTTACCCCCATTTTACAAATGGAAAAACTGACACCCAGCAAGCAGACCAGAGCTCATATGAAATGTATCCAGTTATTCCTCCCATGCCTGGAATTTCATTCTATTACATCTGTTTGCATTTTAAAAAGATGATCTAGTTTCCCACACTGGAGATATGTATCTATCAAAATCACATTGTAACTGATCTCTGAGTCTTAGCATAATGTAGAAAGGAAAATTCTTCCCCTGAAAAATTCCTTTAAGTGGTTCATTCCATAAATCTGGCCCATTTAAAAATGGAGGACTCACTGCCAGTCAGGATGGTGATGAAAATCGACATCCATAGCTGTTATTAATGGAAAGGATAGCTATGTTTACGCTGATGGAGAAACTAGGTGTTAACTATGTTTGCAAAAAACAAATTGTGCTATGCAAATTGCATATCTTATTTTGAAATAGCACGTTATTTTGAAATTTGGCACTGTGTAGACACGCCAAATTTCAAAATAAGCTATTTCAAGACATGCCTTAACCCTCATGGAATGAGAGTTACTAGGATACTGAAATAGCACGCCCGTTATTTCAAAAACATATTTTGAAATAACGGGCAGCTTGTGTAGACGTGGGATAGCTATTTTGGGATATCTCGGGTATCCTGAAATAGCCGTGCAGCGTAGACATACCCAAAGAGAATTTCCAGGTGTATTTTCCCATTGTACTGTGCTTCACTTCACTCCTTTGTAAAGTCTGTGGAATAGTCCAGTGATGGGCAATCTGCAGCCCATGCGGCCCACTAGGGTTCTACGTGTGGCCCATGAAACATTTTGTTTACACTGCCCACGCGCAGGGTTGCCAGATTCCGGTGGTTTCTATCTGCATATTTTTTTCCTACCAATATTACTGAAGTGACATGCACATACAGTAAGGGCACATGAGGGGAGGTGCATGCTGACTGCACACACCAGGGAGAACCGCGCGATCCCTTTGCATCCAAAGTGCTGCTACGGTTCAGTCGGCACACCCCACACATTCTGGGTAGCAAGCACAGTGGCTGCGTCTAGACTGGCCGCTTGATTTTGCACAAAAGCACTGACGTTCTACTGTCCGAAATCAGTGCTTCAGTGCTTTGACGTTCCCGTTTGGGCAAAAGCCCTTTTCCGGAAATGCTTTTGTGCAAAAGGGCCAGTGTAGACAGTTGAAAACTGTTTTGCGCAAAAAAGCCCCGATGGCGAAAATGGTGATCGGGGCTTTCTTGCGCAAAACCGCGTCTAGATTGGCACGGACGCTTTCTTGCAAAAAGTGCTTTTGCGGGAAAGCGTCCGTGCCAATCTAGATGCTCTTTTCCGCAAATGCTTTTAACGGAAAAACTTTTCAGTTAAAAGCATTTGCGGAAAATCATGCCAGTCTAGATGTAGCCAGTGAGTAAAAATTCCCTATCCTGGGAGACGGTCTTGGATATGACAATCTTACTGCCCACTGAGATGAAGGAGGGCCACTCAAACGACCTAGTAACTAGTCTGGGTTGCCCCTCACTGGAATAGTCTTAGAAAACTCAGAGTGGAGCACATATGAATGAACCTAAATCAGTCACAGGCACCTGTATATTCTAGTGATCTTCATGGGTAGTAGGCAATCACCAGGTACCCTCATCCTGCAATTACTTATATGTAAAGGCTCGGGAAATTGGGCTCTGGAAAAGAGAGAGAGAAAGAGAGAGAGAGAGAAAGAGAGACCGACCAAACAGTCACTGCACAAAAACGGCACATTTGGAATGGAAGACAACATTTTAAAATTAGTTCAGTGGCAAAATGACTTCACCGGTCTAATAACATCCAGCGTGCAACTCAAACGTTACTGTACATTTCTCAATTTGTAGGTAACCTTCAAAATAAACAGCCCTCTATTTTTGAAGAGGTCTAAAGATGCACATTTTAGAACACAAAGCAATGAGTTACAGGAACTCCAATAAGGCAAGTTCAAAGACTTTTAGTACAAGGCTCACATCATGCAAGGCACAGAGGGGTAGCCATGTTGGTCTGTAAGGGCACGTCTAAATTACATTCCTCTTTCGGAAGAGGGATGTAAATTAAGCAAATCGAAAGTGCAAATGAAGTGCAGCTTAAATATCCTGCATTTCATTTGCATATTCACGTCCAAGTGCTTTTTCGAAAAAGAGTTTTTCAAAAGTGAAATTGCAGTCTAGACGGGGTTCTTTCGAAAAAACCCACCCTTTTTTGAAAGAACCCGTAATCCTGAAAAAACAAGTACAAGTTCTTTCAAAACAGGGTTTCAAAAACTGTAGGTAGTATCATGAGCTTTCGTGGGCAAAACCCACTTCTTCAGATGAATGGAGCAAGGGGTCCAGAGGTACAAATAAATAGCAAAAAAAGAGGAGAGATGGGGAGTGAAAGAGAAAGGGAAAAAATCTTGTCAATTAGAGTGTCCGTGATAAATCATGCAAGACAGTTTTTAAAAATTGCTTGAGTTTACCTTCTGCTCCTCAACCCACTTCCTGCCAACTGCCAAGAATTTCATCAAACTTTTAAACAGGAAATACTAGTTCTTAGTGATATAAACCTGACTCCATACTTTGAAGATCATTAAGATGTCTAGTTTCATGCTCACATTGCAGGAAGTATTAAAAAATAAGTCTGAGAGACAGTAAGTTATCCTTAGGAAAAGCTGCAGGACAGAGCAAATTACTTAGAAATGTATATGGGAACAACCCAACATCCTGGATGAGGTTAAATCTGCAGTTTCAGCATCTGACTCCTTGAAGGCCCCAGACCTTGTTGGCATTGGAAAATTATAAACATTGATAGTTCCTTTTGCTTTTCCTCAAGATCCATTTCAATGAAAGGTGAACATACATCACGTGTCAGCATGAAAACCAAAACAAACCAGTCCTCAGAATAAAGTCACATTTCAGAAGCCTGCAGAACAATTTGAATTTCACACTAGAGCCGTCTACTCCCCCTAATTTCTGTATTGTTTCATTTTTGAGGCCCCCTGACCCTTGCCCTTCCACCTGTTTTCTTTAACCATGTCCACAGTTTCAGCAAGTGCCTTCTGCTCAGAGACCAGGAAAGCTGTGACACCCCCAGAAGATGGCTAACAGGCAATAGTGACTCTAATAATGACTGTGGAATATTTGTTCAGTTTTTTTTTTTTTTTTAAATCTGGAGTAACTAGATGCTTCTTTTTGGCCGTAACGGCAAGTTCATCCATGGTAAAAACTACATTCACTGATGCCTGTTGCCAATAAGTTTTTATTTTCCAGACTTTATGACAGACACAAAGCATGAGCAGACCGCCCAAAACACCACATATAAACAAACCACAGTCCTACAAACATGGGATATAAAACTTACATCATGTGTCTCATCAAGCACCATAGGCAATTAATAATCAGAGGACTCCTCCTTCCCTGTCCCCCAAAAGAAAATGAAAACAAATCAGTGCCAGACAATTAAAGTGAATATTAAACTTTCTCTTTAGAACACACTCAGCTTGGGGAACATCTAATTAGCATACAGGAAATGAAATGGACATGGGAACTTAGAGTTTCATAATGTGTACTGTAAAATTTCACGAGCTGACCCTACAAATGGATCCATGTAGACAGAGGCCTTGCACCCTCAGAACCCCACTGACTTCAGAGGGGCACTGCATTAGTGCAAGAGTGTACCTACGACAATTAGCCAGCAGGATTGGGGCCTTAAGATTCAGTTGCCTTAAAAGAACAAGATCAGTATTGTTAGGCCAAGCCACTGCCCTTCCTGTCTAAGCAGCAGCTGGGGAACACCCTGCATTTCCAAGGGATGTCATACATTTACAGCAGTACTATCAACTTACATTGTATTTTAAATATATTTCCTTCTACTTTAGCATTCTGGCTTTTAATGTTCTTCTAGTTTTTTAATCTAATTTTACTTTCCGCTATTTATGTTGTGTTTGGACAATGAGCAGTTTGCAACATTGGTCTTTAGTCAGTTTCATTTTTCTGTTTGAGTTTTATTGTTTGAATTCTAAGCACTGCAGGGGGCATTTGTTTAAAAAAGCGAAACTGTTTTCAGTAGACTTAAAAAACAAACAAACAACCCTTACTATCTCTCTGTTGGTCTTAGGTAGGGATTATTTTTGGTACAAGTGTCTTACAACATTTATATTTTGGGCCCCAAGCAAATTAGACTGATCTGCTTAAACCTCATTAAACTTTCAATTAATCATCCATCAGAAGCAAAAAGGAAGACGCTCCCCTGTGCAGTCTGAAGAATGAGACAAAGTAAAGCCACTCTCCAGTCACCCTTCCGAAAAGGGCTTTCTCCAGATAGTGTCCTTTTAAAACTTTTGGAGAACATTTAACAATCTGCAAAAAAAAGTCATAGGCTCTGACATAAGTTACTAGAGTTCTGCCAATACCGCAAGATTTTAAGACCAAGAACAATCCTTCTTTGATGATAGCAAAATTTCTCTTGTCTACCAAAGCTCAATTTGGTGCAAGAAGCATGTGAAATTAATTTCTACCTTTATCAGGATTTCCCCATCTGCTTGCACATTAGATTTCACTTATACTCCCTACCCCTGCCAACCCACACAGATTACGGAGTCTATTCAAATAGACTTGTAACACCATGACAGCCAGTCACTAAAACATAATTTACTTAATATCTTCAAGAGACTTTTCCACAAAGTTTTAAACCTGGAGAAGACTTCACTCTGTTCTGTTACAGTCTGCAGAGAAACCAAGTTATGTCAGAACTCAGTCCACATTTTTATGATATAAAGGAAAACCAGCTAATGACAACTGCCTCATTTTTGGCTACCCTCAGCAACCTCCAATATACCAACTTCAGAGCTTGCTGTGGATATATTACAGAAACACAGGAGAGAGAGACAGAGAGAGAGAGAGAGAGAGAGAGAGTGTGATTATCAAAGCGCATGAATAATAGAACTCCCAGCAAAAATCCGTGGAAATAATCCTATTCTTCCCCAACCCCAAAATCCTGTTTTTACAAGGTATACACTGACTGGTCATAAGTACACCTCCACCGCTCAAATACATAGCTCCCATAGCAAGCCCCAACTTATAAATCATTTGAAAACTGTTATAGTCAAGGCTGTGTTTGACAACTTTTAATGAAGATTGCAATGCTAGACCACACCAAGTGTATGTGAACATTTGTCCAGCAGCATCTTAAGCCTAAGCAAGTCTCTTAGGAAAAATTCACAATTTCAAGAAAAAAATTATAGTGTCAGTTATTGGAATGTTTGGCCCTTTTTCCAGTGTTCGCTCTAATTTTTCCACCCCCTGAGCAGATTGAATTTTGTCATGTGCACTAATGTGGAGTGATGTGTGATATATCACCTTCATATTGGTACACATAACAAAACTCCTGTGGCCGGAGTAGGGCCAAAGGGCTCTGAGTGTAGAAGGGGGTTTAGGCCTGGGGAAGAGGGTTGGGGTCCCAGGGTATGAAGGCTGCAGCTGGGGGTGATGGCTCTGGGGTAGAATGAAGAGGTGCAGGGCTAAAACAGAGGGTTGGGGTGCAAGGGCTCTGCCATGGGGTCAGAGGTGTGAGGTATGGAGTGCAAGAGTGGACTGGGACTGAGGGTTTCAGAATACAGAAGGGGGCTGCAGGTTGAGGCAGGGGTTTGGCATGTAGGAGGGGGTGAGGGCTCCAATTCCTGGGTGGGTCCAGGAATGAGGGGCTTGGGATGCAACAGGGGTCTTCAAGTTTGGAAAGGGGCTCAGGCCTAGGGATTGGTGTACAAGGAGGGAGTCCAGGCTCTGGACTGCTGGTATGGGCAGCTCCATGTGGGGACTGGCAGGGAGGGGCCCTTCTCCCCTCCCCGCAACTGCTCCCTCTGGGGCCGGTAGGGAGAGGTGCCTCGCTGCCAACCGTAGCAGCTTCAGGGCTTAGGGCGAGGTCTCTCTCCCAGCTGCAGCCCAAGCCCCTGTGTGGGGTTTAATGGGAAACTGCTCAGCCATGCACCTTAGAAGGTACCTTGATCCCCCCATTCATTCACACCCTTGGAGTTCTTCAGGCATCACTGTTCAAACTTGGGCAAGATTTATCAGAAAACAAAAACCCTTGAAAATGCTCCATCAGCTGAAGTAACTCCTCTTTTTCTAGATTTAGGCACAATTTTAAGTCCATTACAACAATTTCAGAATCTTTGGAGTACAGTCCCCTAATGTAAAAAAAGCTAACAACACTTATCTATAGTAGATATCAGTGCTACAGGCAAGGGAAATGGACTGATCAAAACAAGCTTTCAAAAACTAACTTCTTTAATTAAAAAGACGGAAAAGTAAATTTTCTGTGATCCTAAACATTCAAGAGTATAAAAATATTTCAATTGGTTTCAGAAATATCCAAGTCTCTGATCACATAAAACAGAAAAACAGCTTTTGTACAGAAAGTATCGTCATAAAAATATGGCCATGATACACCAAGCCCTGCCTCCAATGTGAGCAACTGTACCCCACATTAATATATTAAGGGGTAGAGGAGAACAGTCACTGACATAATCTAAACACTTATGTTACATTAGATGAGAGATGGGCAATATGCCAGAGGTAATTTGCCAGGGTTAGCCCTTGATGGGCTGCCGCTGCTTTATTTACCTGTACCTCCTATTGGTTGCAGGTTGCCATTTGCAGCCAATGGGAGCTGCAGGAAGCAGTGCAAACTAGGACACCACTTCCTACAGCTCCCATTGGCCAGGAACAGTGATCCACAGCTAATGGGAACTGCAAGTGCCTGTATCTGCGGAGGCTCAGGTAAATAAAGTGGCAGTGGCCTGCCAAGGGCTTACCCTGGGGAACTGCATCTGTCCTGCGGGCTGGTTATTGCTCACCGCTATGTTAGACCAAAGGAAATGTCTTCTAAATTAAAAAACAACAACCACCCTATAGCAAATCTTTACATACTGCAATTGACTTATTAAGAAAACTCTGTTTGAAAAGAGATGGCAGCAGTAGAATACAACATTGGCCCAGAATAATGGCTGTCTTGTGCTACTTTATCAATATGGCAAAAATATTTATGCTTCGATTTTCAAAGCCAGAGTCTTCAAGCATGAAACAAATAGTCTGTTGCACTTAAATTTAATTTCTGTTTGAATACCTTTGCCTGTTAGATTCAGTTTCATAAGCAATTGCCACTCTACTGTTACTTACAGGATGTGCTGAATTGCGCTATGGATTGTCTGTCAGCCACAACTGGCTCCAACATGAAAGTAAAAAAGATTTATGCAGCCTACATTACAGTGCATGGCAGTTACACAATTTAAGTAGGTGAGAGGTTATGAAGTTTCTCTCTGTTTAAACGTACATGGTAAAATTCACTCCTATACAGAGGGCCACCACAAGATAAATGCAGCATTCAAATCTTAAGCTTTCAGACTGAGGCCAGGTCCACATTACAGGGGAAGGTCAGCTTAAGGTACGCAATACCAGCGATGTAAAAAAAATTAGCTGGATTCGATGTACCTTAAGCAAGCTTTGAGGCCACCTTCACAGCGGGAGGTCGATAGAGTGTAGACAGCTGGCAAGTTTTTCCGCAAAAGCAGTTGCTTTTGCGGAAAAACTTGCCAGTCTAGATGCAGCCGTGGTGACCAGGGGCACCCTCAGTGTTCGATTTAGTGGCTCTTTACTAGACCCGCTAAATTGACCACTGGAAGATTGGCTGCAATACTGTTAATCTTCCCACAAGTGGAGACGTGGCCTGAGACTTAACTGGTGCTTTCTCCTTTTGCCAGCCCTCTGCGAAGTAGGGGAATATGTCACCGTCTGAGTAACCGTTAGCCATTACCAATTACCAATCCGACAGGTTGGACAGATTTCATTTGACCAGAAGGTTCATATGCAGGTAAAAATATCCTTTTTGTTAAGAAAGCATTATAACATTCTTTTCTTCTGGCACGTTATTTGTTCTAAAGCCAGTAGTGCAGTAATTAACAAGACAAGTATTGACCCGTCATCTAATATTGTTCTAACTTTTGCTTTCAATAGTCAGTTAAGCATTACAACTTTGAAAAAGAAGCTCCTACTTTGTTAGTGGCTGTTTCTTGAGGGGCAAAAGACACAGGAAACACCTCTTTCAAAATTAACCTGAGTCTCAGGTTAACCCTCATGAAGACTGGACCATCACAGGTGAAATTCACCTTCAACAAAGTGTACTCATAAAAGTCCTACATTAAGTTCTGTTTAAATCCTAAAACAGTGCAAAGATCTTGGGGAGCCTCCCTGCACTGGAGTGAATTTGCACCCAGAAAACTGAATGCAGCATGGTATATATCTAAAAGGGTCAATGAAAATTGCTTTTTAAAAGAAAACAAAAGACATACGAAGACCTAAGCTCCTATCTCATTAAGAGGATAGATATTTAGCTTTAAAAATACAAATATGTCTTGTACTATAATAACAGTGGGTTATCTGCCAAGGCCTGGGTGATAGCATACCAGGAGCAAAGCAGGAATATGTCTTCCTTTCTGAGTTTGAAGGACATTGAGTTTCTACAGGACTGAGCAACCCACTGACTTCAGTAAGAGAGAAAAATGATCAACTCTTGCAAAATCTGAATGTCTTCTATTAAAATATATTTGTCGTTTCAAGTCCATGTGTGTGTTACCTGAAGGCTAAATCTGGTCCCCTTTAAAGTCAGCTGGAGTTTTGCCATATAGACTTCCTGAGGCTGGGATTTGTGCTTTAAAGATGCAGGCTGGGATTTTCAAGGGAGACAAAGGTAGTTAGGCACCCTGTTCTCACTTGAAAATACCAGCCTTAGAATCTTTAGGTACTTTTAAACTTTGGTATTTTAATTTGCCTTTAAGCAGCTTTCGTGTGGCAGATCCCAGTGAGTTAGTGCTGCCACTGCACTTAATGCCTATTTATAGCCTGATTTTCAAAGGGTCAGGTGCGCTCGGAGGTCTCTACTTAACAGAAACTACAGCTGATCAAAACCTCTGAAAATCAGCTCACTGAGGATAAATGATGTGGAATCCTATGGAGGCAGAGGGCCCCCACACCACAATATATTTAGTACAAGCACTCTGTAGATGGTAGGTTCATAATTATGGGGCACCAGGAGTTTTAATCCCAGATTTTTTTCTGGTAGGAAGTATCGAGACGTCCTTGTTCTTTTTCCAGCCTGTCAGGAGATGCTGTGCGTTATCATAGCCGTGTCATCTGAGCCTTGGAGTCCTCAATCTCCTTTGAACTCCTTACATGGTTGGTGTGTTGTCTGCTTCTGAATCTGAAAATAAATAAGCTTTGAGGGCTACAGAACATTTTATAGGAACCAGACATGAGACATTCTGCTTCCAAAGGAAAACGCTAGAAGAACTGCGGGGTCCTGCTGCAAACGTCCTCCAATATACAACAGCAAAGCCTATTACACTGGGATGTGATGCTCTATAAAGGGACCCTCTTCTGGGCTGAAGATGAAGAGACTGTCAGTGCTCCGTGGCGATCATTTCATCCACTCACAGAAAGAGCATGTGTTTAGGAAGTGGGTGCATGAGACTCATGGCAAAATTTCCACTGTATCCCGTATCTGCAGTTAACGTTCATCAATTAAAAAAATCTACAAGCCACAGATCAGACACCTAGAGAATTCCTAACAGTGATCAGGAGCAGCAGGTGTCTCCTCAGGAGCCTGCCTTTGGGCGTGCCTCTTACCCTGAGAATTAGAGACTCACAGGTAGGCTTTTATAGGCAGTTCCAACCTTCTCCAAATAGTTAAGTGCAAATCTGCCCACAGCCCTGAGCCAGAATAACCTAGCTGTTTGGTAGAGGAGTTGCACTGTAGGTACCACCGTCCCCAAAGGAGAGCGGCCCCTCTTTCCTTGACAATAGAAAGAAATGGCCAGCACATATGTATAATTGGGCTCCCCTCAGATGTCCCCTCAGCTGCAGCATATAGGAAACCCTTTGGTGGAACACAAGAGGTTATAGCTGTCAAAGCTGATTCGTTTTCCACTCCCTTTACACCGCACAGCAGAATTATATGCATGCAGGGCTCTTTTCACCCATTGGGGAGAGAAGATAGGATTTGCCTCTTACAACGTTACCATTATAAGTAGTCACTTAAAGCATAAGCCACAACACACAGAGTCCAGTATGACCTCTCTCTTCAGGAACAGATGCTGCCTCACCACACAGCCCTTGTCCCCATCCCCACTGGCATCAGCTGCAGAACACTATGTTCAGTATCGGTGTCTCACCGGAATGCTAGGAGTTCAGAGAACAGACTGCCCAAGAGAAGGGCAGCTCGGCAGACACATTAAAATCACATGGGCTGTAAGTTGGTACTTAATGGTCTGATGGAAAACAGTTACAAAAGAGCAGCCTGTAACTAATTTAGTTTAATCACAAACCACCCCTGCTAAAACAGTTATAACAAATGTTAGAGCCTGCTGGAGATCTGGCACACAGCTTCTCTGTGCATGTGTGTGCCTGCATAAGATTTCAGTGGACACGTTTGTATAGGGTGACCCAAATAGCAGGATCCAGTGTAGCAAGAGAACACTGCATGCTGGGTACAGCTATGTGAAGTGGCTTCAGGGGGCAGGACATGGGAGTAAACTGTCTCAGGCCATGTCTACACTCATGCAAAATTCCAATTAACACACACAACTCCAGCTATTGTAATCGCATGGCTGGAGTCAACATAGCTTAATTTGCACTTTGGCACTGTGTCCATGCTCCCGTCAACTTTCCTTACTCCTCGCAATTCAAGGAGTACTGGCATCGACAGGGGTGCCCTCAGCATTCGATTTAGCGAGTCTTTACTAGACCCGCTAAATCAAATTTTGGAAGATTGACGGCCCAGCATCAGTCTTCCAGGAAGCGAAGGCGTGGCCTCAGACTATAGCAGCAGCAGCCCTTTATCTAGCGAAAGGACACTGAAATCCTGTTTTCATAGTACAGCCCAATCCCTTTCCATTCAAGCAAAGAGCTATTTAACTGAAACAAGAACAGTCCTAATAAATGAATAGCTTTTCAGTGGACTAGAAGGGAAAAATACAAAAAACTTTGCAATGCTATCTATGCATGATTGTATGCTATCCAATATGTACATGATCTAATTAATTCAGCACCTTTGTGAGGAATGAAAATATTACCCCTATTCTAAAGCAGCGGGGAAAGGCACCTGGAGGCTAGGTGACTTGTCCTAGATGATGCAAAACTATTTAGTGGAAGTGGTTGGAATATGCCTGAAGCTTCCTCCTGATCCAAATGCATCCGGCTCCCAATCTCTTATTCCAAATCCTGCCTCAAAACTAACTTCTTTAATTAAAAAAAAATGCTGTTATCCACCTATCCTAAAATGCTCGAAGACAGGAGGCATCTCCAGGCAGAGATTGGGGTGCAGGAGGAGGTGCAGGGAGTGGCAGGGAGTTTTGGTACAGGAGGGGTTCTGATTTGGGGCAGAGGATCGAGGGGGAGGGGGTTGCCAGCTGCAGGTTCTAGTCTTGGCCAGGAGACCCTCACCCTATGTGGCTCCTGACCAGTGGCCCAGCAGGGCACTCAGGTATGTAGGCTGCCTGATGGCCATGGTGGCCCCTTGCCACGTAAAGCTGCCAACTGCTGCTTTGCTGGGGCAAATGTTTGTCTGTGAGCCTCTTGGGGCAGAAGGCAGAGAGTCCCCATGCGCTGCCCGCGCTCGCAAGCTCTGCCTCCATTCCAGCCAATGGGAGCTGTGAGGATGTGCAGGCGGTGGGGGGGAGTGCACAGAGGTCCACTGCCCCTTTCCCCCCCAAGGGGGGAGCACAGAGGCACACTTGCCCCAATAGCCAGTCGTGGTGCTTCTGGGAGAGGCACAGCTCGGGTGATGGCTGGCAGGCAGGCAAGGTGCCTGAGTGCCCCACTGTGCCATAGGACATTTTCCTCTGGCCCCAGCCCACGGCCCATATTTTGCCCACCCCACCTCTAAGAGGCATTTTTTTCTAGGATACTCTGGATTGTTCATCTATTTCAGATCACATTTACTGTTGTGTCTTGTACAGCACCTGAAACACTGATTGTGCTTCTAAAGTAAATACTAACACCACATTCTCGGCACTGAGTTCAATCCACTGGGCCATGCTGTCCCCAAAGTACAAGAGACATTCGAGTCTGTTAAACACTCCATGTACAAAGCCCACTAATACTAGTGAAGACCTCTACTGTGAGTTCTGGAGCCAGGCAGGATAACAGTCCAAGAGAGGACACTGATTTCTGAGCGCTTACTCATGACACTGTTGGTTTTGTTTCCAGAGAGTCTGAGCAACCACACGGATTTCAGTGAGACTCATGGGTGCTCAGTAATTCTGAAAAAAAAGTCAGTCCCAGTGTATATCACTAAAAATCAGAGGTCACTCCTGAAAGGTTTAGTCTACTGGAACAGACCTGTAAAATACTTGTTTAATATAGTGCGGCAATGACATGAGCTGGTGGAGAGTATATTTGTCTGATCTATGGAGAGAATGAAACCCACTTACCCTTTTACCCTTAGCATCTGCCCAAAGGTCTCAGGGAGAGGATTTCC